GAGACAGAAAGGTGCTGTTGGCCCTTTGCAAACCCCATTGCAACAGCTGGGTATGTGTTGGATGCCGGTACCCAGCAAGAGAAATTCACTCTGAAATTCTTTTGGAGCGGAGGGGGTTTGAAGTGACAAGAAATAAAAAAAAGAAATAAGAGGTTTAACAAAATGCAAGTGGAGGGCTTGGCTGCTTTTTGCTGGTTCACAGGAGCAGAGGAATGGACAGTGGGGTGGGAGATATGGAACTCAGGAGCTCAGAGAGCAAAGGTTTCTGTCCCCCTCACCAAACCAGAGGGATGACACAGGAGASCCTCAACCAGGGAAGCCTGTCCTCAGCTAAGCTGTGTTTCTTCTAAGCCAGAGGCACTTTGTGACATTTAATTTATTGCTGAAAGTGCCCTGTTGTCCTCTACTCACGCTTTGCAGCTGTAGCATCCCMAAAATACCTAAAATTCTCCATCTGGGGCCATGCCCTGTGATTTCTCAGAGCTGGGGAGCTGTGCTTGTTCCTGGCTCGTTGGGAGAGCCTTCCTGGGCCGTTTTCAGCTGGTTTACAGTTTCCAGATGTTGARTCAGGCAGTGAGCATGAACCCTGCTAAGATCATCCATGGGAAGTGGGAAGAGTTCCCCTGACAGGGCCAGCGATTGCCCCATCCCCGTCTGTTGGCAGCAGAGCAAGACGAGCTGCACGTCCCTGAACTGCCTCAACCCTTCCCAGCTGATTTTCTCCATTCTGATGAAGTTCCTTGTTAAGCTCCTGACTCACRTAAATCTGTGTCCAGCCAAACTTGCAAGAGAAGCACGAATTTTTCTGGACCTAAAGCCAGTCTGGCAACGGGAAGAGAACTCCATCCAATGTGGATGGAGAGGGGCTGGAGGGAAGAGTTCCCAGGGATTTTTTTCCCTGCCCAGATGGAAATACCCTTTCTTCCAARCCACACAGAGCCCTGGTCCTTCAGCCCGGGCACAGGCACACCACAGTGCCTAGTGAAGGATTGGGTAATTTCCTTCCCTTCTCCCCTGGAAGGTGTTTAGATTAGCATAMCCATTGTGTTCCCAAATTAGCTCCCATTCCCGCTTTGCCCTCGGGCTGGCTTTTCCTGTGACAAGCCTGCTCTGGCACAGGGATCCCTTTTTCCACTGCAGCATCACAGCTCACATCTGGACAGATGTGCAGGCACATTCAGTCCCTCCAGCTGCCCTTYCTGGCTGATACTGAAGCTGCAGAGAGCTGGTCCTACAGCCCGAAACAGCCCAAATTTTGTTTGTGCTGGATGGGGACCAGCAGCAGCCAGGAYGAGGGTGCATTCTGCTTCCTGTCATCGTGGCAGAGGAAATGTTAACTTCTGGCACATCCCTGGTACCTCAAGCCACCCTAAAAAACGGGTCTGAGCCTGTCCAGCACATGCTCTGCCAGTCACTCACCTGCTCCTGCTTCYCTCCTGCCAAGAATCATCCCAGCTGAAATAATGCGAAGTTCTGGGAGAGAATTAACAGGAGAATGCAAAATATTTTCCAAGTGCCAACAAGACAGACACACACACACAGAGTGAAAAATCAGGGGCCCCTGATTTCATGGCTGTGGAGTGCCATGGAGAGCAGGAGCTGCTTGCATGAAGTGACAGGTTGGCAGATGTCTTTGGTGTCGAGCTTTATCCACAGAAAATATATCTTGTAGTCTGAAATTGGATGTTTTTAACAATCCTTCATTGCTGGCTGAGCCACAGGGGCTGGTGCAGCCTCACACCTCTCCCTCTGCAGAGATGGAGCTGTTCAAGTAAATTCTCCCACAGAACAGATTGAAGTTCTGCTGAAAACACCGCCAGTGAGGGATGGAGGAGCTCCTGAAGCACATGGATATTTGACCTTACCCCATTTCTCTAGGATGGCATAGAGAAAGATTTCCCCAATTTCAAATGGGCTTCCATCTGAATGGGAGCTCGGTTATGGCCACRAGGGCAGAAGGAAGGATGCCACAATGAGGCCAGTGGGCAACAGAGGAAGTAGCTGGGGAGGAAAGAAAGCAGTTCCCTTCTCAAACCCTTCATCAGCTGATTTTACTCCAAGCTCCTTACCAATCTACTTCTCTAATACCAGTTTGACTGTCAGCAGACCCAAAGACGAACTCATTGAACTTTCTCAGCTTTTGCTGWCTGCCCGACTTGTACTCCTCCTGCCAGCACTTGGGGCACCTCACAGAGCAGAGCTGTCGGGACAGGGGAGCAGCAGAGCAGAGATCTAAGGCGTGAGCACCAGGAGTGCTCCGGGAAAAATGTCATTTTACAAACGCCCAGGGCAAAGCCCAGCTGCTGAGACACAGGGATTTAGGGAACTGGGCTGTCCCACTGGGCTCTGGCTGCCAGCCCACCGACACGGGGTCATCCTGCAGGTCCTGGTTCGTATTTCATACTCCAGCGGTATTTTCCAATCCCACGTGGAGCTCGGTGGAAAAACAAGRAGGCTGAGCAGGAGGTGCACCCTGCTCCAGGAGCAAATCCAGCTGTGGCACGGCACATTTTCCAAGCCAAGCCTCTGCCATTGCACAAACACGGGCAAGGAGGGGTCCGGGAGCTTTTGCCACCGTGTCCCCGCACTTTGCATCCACCTCTAATTTCCATCGCTGGAGCAGAGCCACTGCTTATTAAACCCAGACCAGCAAGGGCTTGGCAAGGCACGCAGGCTGGGCCAGGCAGCCAAGGGGAGGCCAGACAGGCTGATTCCTTCTTTCATGAAAAAGGGGAGGCTGCTTCCAGAGCCTTCAAAAGGGGTCRAGCGTGGACGTGGCGCTGCTTGGAGGATCAGCCTGGCCCGGAGACAACGCAGCATCCGAGTCTGAGGCAAAGAACTGCTCTGCTCTTGCTCCCACCAGCTTTTCGGTGCATTTCTGCAGCAGGAAGTATCCTGTGGTGGGAGTGATGGGGGCAAGCACCTCCACAAGGGCTCAGGGTCGAAATGCACCGCCAAGGGCAGGCAGAGTGACTGCTGTCCTGTCAGAAAGCACGAGCTGTGCCAGGGTGTGGATCACATGGGGGTGGCACAAAGYTCTTGGTCACCATCCTGGTTGGCATTTCATGGGCATCTCTGCACAGCTGAGCCCAGAGCAGCAGAAGGGACCTCAGGGAGTCCTGCAGACCTTGTGGCAGCGTTTGTTTGATGGCTGCTGTGCAGAGCTAAAAATACCCCAGCTATGGTTATGAGTTCAGGATAACTAATACACCCAGTGGAAAGATTTGGAGCCATTCCAGGGCTAAACAACAGCTTCTTCACCAACAGCCAAAGACTTGTGGATGCAAAAATAACTAGAAAAACTTAAAAAAAAAAAAAAAAAACTCGAGCTGGAGCAAGCGATTTTCAAATTGAGCCCAAAAAAAACTTTCGAGTGAAGACGACCATGGAAAATTGTCAGCACTTTGGGTTGTTTTAACAACAGGGTACACAGWCCTCTGGGTTTAGGCTGGATACTGCCTCGGGCAGGAGCTGGGAGAGCTAATATTTAAGGAGAATGCCTTCATTATGAAGGTGAAATCAAATCACACTGATAATGTTATCCCAGGGGCCTGGACCAACAGCATAAGTGCAAGAATCAGAGGGAAGCACCGTGATGGGAGAGATGCACTTGATGTCTTAAAAAGTAGGGGGAAACACCCAAGAACAGACCAACGGTGGCTGTGGGTGTGTCATGGACACTGTGGGTCTTCTCAGCCCAGGTCCTGCTCAGAGTAGGGAACCCTAAATGAAAACCCAAAAGAGTTTCCAAGTTCTCATGAGTGCCCAGAAGTGTTCGTGCCTGTTTCAGGTGTCTCCCCACAGAAGCTGTGTTATCATCACTAGCTGAAACGTTTCTCCAGCGTATTTTTTTCCTCTTCTGCACCCCACCAGCCCTCGTGAAACAGCCACTTATTCTCCCCTTGCCGTTGTGCCGAGATGTACCAGGCTGCGAGCAGGACCTGCTGCCCTCCCAGCCTCAATAGCACAGCTTGTTCTCTGCACATGGGGTGACAACCCAGYGGCAGCTGATGTGAATCCCAGCAACATCACTGGGACTGGCCCCACTGGCCACCCCCTGGGAAGATCTGGCCACTGAAACGCAATAATGTTGATGTGCCAAGCCAGGARGCTGGAAGATCACAGCATTTTGTGCTGTGATGGTGAATTATCACTGCCTCACAGCAACTTTTTTAATCTTAAAATGACTTTCTTACTCCACAGCCAGCGCAGAAGTTTGGTTGTACACCACATGGCCAAGGAGAAYGCAGGAATGACTCTAAGCTCGGCTAAAGATGTGGAGGCAGGGGACACAATTACCCACTCAAGATGAGACCTTTTGTCTGATTTTGGGTAAAAAGTGTGGCTAATGCCACCTGTGTGTTACAGAGAGGGCAGCAAACCTTTGCTCTGTCAGAACAACCCTTCTTGCCAGCCTTCCCACTCCTGCTTGGTTGGGTGTTTGGGGGTTGGTTGGTTTTGGATACACATTCCTGGGGAGATGGGCCTGAGATGGTTCTCACATTTTTATTGCAGGCTGGCAGGGTGCAGCATCTCCTGAAGATGCTTTGGCTCTTCTCCAACACTTGGTTCTGACGTGCAGGGAGTCCCTTCCCACCCATTCAATTTCCAAGGTACTGTGGCATCCGCATCACTTCCAGACAGCAAACCCCCTCTGGTGCCAACAGCCAGCTGAGTGACAAATCTTGCCGTGGGAAGTCACAACCAGGGCAGGACACACGGGAGGGTGTGTGCCAAGAGCACCGCCACCATCCTGGCTGGCACCGGCCACCGTGACCACGGCTTTCTCTCTGTCCTGGGACCCGCAAACTGGTGGGTGATGATCAATCCCACAGCGACAGCAAACCCTGAGAAAGGCTGGGGGCAARCATCTCGCCCTGTCCCCGCCGTGCCCCGGGGATGGCGCTGGCACCGCGGGCAGGGCCGGCGGGCAGCCAGGGCGGGCGCACTCCGATCCGCGGGGCAAAGGTCCGCGGGGCTCCCCCGGCCCGGCCGCTGCCGTACCCGCGGAGAGACGGCACAGGGACGGCACCGGGACAGCGGGACACCCCCGTCCCCCCGTCCGCGGGGAGGAACCGCCGCCGCCCCGCCCGGCCCGGCCCGCCCCGGCGCGCTGAGTGGGCCCGGCGGCGGAGAGAAGCGGCGGGCGGGCCGCCACGGGGCGGGGCGGGACCAGGCGGCCGAGCCCGGCGAGACAGCGGCGGAAAGTGCCACGACTCCACACGGCCGCGGCGGCGAGGAGGGACCGCGACCCGGCACGGGTGGGTAGGGGCGGCGGCGGCCCTTCCTTCCCCCCGGCCCCTTCCCCGGCCCCGCTTCCGCGCTCCCCCCGCGCTGCCAGCGGGATCCCCCGGCCGGCGCTGCCCCGGCCCCGGCGCGCCCGGAGCGGGGCGGGACCCCCGAGCTCGGAACGGGCCCGGAGCGGTGTCCCGCGGCGATCCCGGGCCGGGGTCCGCTCCGTGCGCCGGGGGCCGGCGGATGAATGGCCCCGGGCGCGGAATGGCGGCGTGTGCGGGCAGGGCAGGGCGAGGCTCGGGCCAAGCGGTGCCCCCGGCCCCGAGCGCCGCCGTCCTGCCCCAGCGCCGGCCGGATGACAATTATTAATCTGATTAACTCTGCTTACAGAACGACCCGGCTTTCGGGCCGCTGTCCCTTGTCCTTCTTCTTCTTGGTTTTTTTTTTTTTTTCCCCTTAATTAAGCCCCCCGACAAAACTCTGCTGGCAGCCGGAGAGCCCCGGCAGCCCGAGGTTTTAGACAGAATCATCGAGCCCGTAAAGCCCCGATCCCCCGGCCATCCCGGGATCTTTCCGAGCGGGACATGAACAGCCTTGCCGCGGCTCTGCCCCGCTCCTCGCCCTGCCGGGGAAGCGGTCCAGCGGAAGAGCGTGTGCTGCACACGTGGCTGTGCGGGATGGAGCAGCATCCCCGCCTGCGGTGCCGGCTCTGCCCTCGGTCGAAGCTCCGCATCCGCGGGAAAGGGCTGCAAGGAGCCGGGGCTAYCTGGGATCTGAGCCCCGGGGAGGAGCTGATGAGGAGCGCCAGCGAAATGCCTCTTCGGGCCAGGGAGGGGAGAGAAAATTTGTAATAGCCGCCGCAGAGATTAGTCAAGCTGCAGCTGTGTTGTGGTGCTGTTACACTCTTCTCCTATATATACRTGTATTTTCTGCCTGTTTTTTCACTCCTGGGCTTGGGAAGGGAGCTGGCAGCACTCCTGGCAAGCCCAAGCCAGCTGGCTGCTGCTGCCAGAGCTAATGGAGCACTAAGACACGTTCAATTAAGTCGAGCTGTAACTGTTGACGATGGGCTGATCTGGAGCTGCTGCGTGGAGTAGCACATGCTGCCGGGAGGCTGGAAGTGCACAGTCACTTACACAGAAAATGTATTTAAACAGAGGCTGCTGGCAACGTGGGCAGGATCTGCTCGTGGCGTGCAGGCTTTTCTCGTTTGTTTTTAATTTTTGTCTCTGTCTATTGCAACGGGGCGGAGAGAAGAACTCCAGGAGAAGTGTCTGGTGATTTTTTTTTTTTTTTTA